GTCCGTTTTCCATCAACTCCAGCAGGGCTTCGCAGCGCTCCTCCTGCTTCCCAGACTCATCAGCAGAGGGATTTCCAGGACCGGAGGATTGAAGGAAAATGGAGTACAAGTGGAACCATAGCGGAGCGCAGCGGTCCGCGGTGGCTTGAGTGGTCGCATCAAGAGCGGCCAGCCAGCATCTGCAGGGAAGTGAAACAGCTGGGGCATTATCGGCAACCCCACTCAGTGCCAGAGTAAACTAACTCAGACAGACCAGGTACACGGTTTAATATCCTACTGGACTTCAAGCACTAAGGAGCAAGTTAAAATTCCCGAAAAAGGTTGACTGGAGCCTGACTTCTAAAGCAGGACCAGTGATTTGGCAAACCTCAGAGCGAGACTTCCAGTCTACAGGACAGAGGGAAGAGAAATGCTTAAGTAGGTAGAGGTTGTCCACTTAGCCTTTTAAGAGCCTCTGGAGCAGAAACACAAAGCTTCCCTTTCGTCGGCTAAAGGAAGTGATTTGCGGGGATTTAGCAATCCCATAGCATATTGAGACGTAATAGTGGCGAGCTGGACAGCGTTTAAACTAAATTCGACTGGGAATAAACTTTTTGCATTATTATCGACAGCACCCCCATGGGTCTTGGTGAATCAGACTGCTGTCCATGACGAACACCGAAATAGCATTAACTTAGTGAAAAAGCATAAGCTTGGAAATTAGTTACATTACAATGGAAGCATAATACGGAATTTTTCTTAGACTTGAAAACATGATTAACGGAGTTTTGGGTTATTTCTGTGGAGGTCCCTTCGCAGAGACGATGTTTTCGAGTTGCATTACTCAATTCTACCTTAACTCATGCCCCTTAATTGGCATGGGTATAGCTCAAACTCGAAGGGCTCTTAAGGTATTCGTGTCCATACCTGTAATGACGGGTCAGGCGCGCTAAAGAAAGGTTAAGGGGAGACGTCTTTAGGGGCTCGGGCATACACCGTCCATCAACCAGAGACCTCAATTCAGTTGACTCACATACACTGTACACAGCTAACATAAGCCGCAGAAAAGGCCCTTGACGCAGTGTACGTAGACTGCGACAACAGACCTAGATTTACTTTTAAGGTCCATTCACCTATAAGCTGTGCTGACAACTGCCATTGCTACTGATTCTGGTGGCGAACGAAACAGACGCTTCTCTCTAGGGAATGCTGTGTATACCAATCAAGTGAGGAGCAGGATGAATACAAAAGCCAGACCCGGCGAAAGGAGAAAGTGGAGGTCAATCGTGCGAATCATCGTCCGGGTGCTAATGTGATCGTGCTCGCCCAAAGCATTACAGCGAATGTCAACGAAATAAACCAGAAAGGACTTCATGCAAAGACGTAAGAGTAGAGCATCCAAAGAGCGGACAATGGGAGGCAACTTACTTCAGCTCCGTTTTGCGCCAGTCCACAAGCATGTCACAGATGGCCTGGAACAATTCGGACAGGGAGACATAGGCTGCGGCGTTCTTCTCCCATTCCTGACGGAGACAGCATTACACAGAGGGAAAAGCATAGGCGGTAACTCGCGATAAAAGTGTGCCTTCACGTAGTAGTGTAAAGGCAGTCCAGAAGCAAAAGTTAAGGCAAATGGAAGGAGAGGTGACGAATAGATGGACTTGCCTGAATCTCCGTCAGTAGCAGTTCAAAGGCAGTAATGTACTTCATGAGACAGTCACCCATTGAGAAAGCTCCCATTCTTTTGATGATAACCAATATCTGTAGAAGAATGGGGGGGGGATTAAGCATGGAATTCGGGCATAGTTCCATGGCTTGGTGGACAGAATCCAGCGAAACAGAAAAACGACTCGCTTTCAAGAAACCGACTAAAATTGAAATTTCGAGTGCGAAACCCAGGGTGAATGAACAAATTTGGATGTTTAAACCCCCACTTACCCACTATCCCCTGAAATGCTGACTGGAATTCTGAAACGTGTCTTAGACTAAAAAAGATAATTCAAGAAGGGTTGTAATACTAATTATCGTGCAGCATAATTCAAAGGTATTTTAGTCAGACCACGGTGAGGGCTTTTAAATCAGGTTCTTCTCGGCCGCCTGGAAAAAGTCCCTTGGTAGAAAATGGCTATTTAACTAGTATGTATTTTTATATTAATTTTCAATGTCTTTATAAATTTAAATATATTTTATAGGAAACACGCAAAATGCATTATTTTTTCGTGCTTATTTGTTGGCAAGTAACGTCTTCGTCAAATTTGATACTCGAAGGAGGGGAAGCTTTTGGTTTTGGAAAAGCTTCCAGTGTGATTATTAGGACCGTGAAGGATCAACTCATTAAGCATAGTATCCGTCCATACATTAATGCTGCTTATAAAGTATACGACATAGTCCACATCCATTGCAGTATTTTATGACCCTATATGGCATCTTCTTAGTGGTATCTATAAATGTATGATATTCCTTACAGAAAAATATACAACTTGTAGGTTGGAGACCTTTAATGCAAATACAGAGGCGGATTGGGTTTAGAATTATTCGATAATCGAAGAGGTTTTCTAAAACAGAAAGATACCGTTTCCTCAAGTACAAAATTTGCAAAGAAATAATTTGCTGCACGATAATTAATCGCACAACCCCACTCAAGTAGTCTTTTCGAATGGAAAACACATTTGAGAGTTTTGGTTAACATTGCATGAGACAGCACGTCTACTGGAGACTAGGTTTATGGGCACGGAACAGGTTTACTGGTAATCAATGCTTTTTATAAGGCTAAAAGCGAAGAAGCTGAGTATAAACTGGCATTAAGTTCTCCTAATATCTGGAAAAAGTTAATGCAGGACGGGGTGCGAAAGGACCTTCAGAAGGGCTGGGTGATCCGGCCACTCGCAGAGGACCTCCTGGACGCGAGTTCGCAGTCTTTCTGTGATGCTTTGAGCGACGTGTGCCTCTGAAAAAGGGATTGGATCCCTATAGACGTCCAGGTAGGGCTTTCGTCGTAGAAGTTGTTGACTGCTGGCGGGGACGGCAAGAAGGGGTTCGAGGGAGAACAGGTTTCGGCCAGCGGTCTCGGGATTACCACTGTGCGCCAAGAGGGCGAATTTGGCGGTTGCCAGAAGGTGGGCGGCAGAGGAGACGGCATCGTGCGAATGCGCTGGAGTGCGAGAAGACACGAAAAACAGACCATCATAAAGCACGGGGCAATGCTTTACAAAACTAGGGCAGCTACCGCCTTTAATAGGTAATTATGCTCAGGCCTCCGTACGGGCTGTGTTGACTATTTGAACTCTCAACTAGTGACGTACATGACAATCGCTACGTGGAAGCTTACGCCATGCCAGTCACTGAGCCCAATCTCATTACTAGGCGGCTTGAATCAGACAGTCTGCAAGTGCATGGGGCAAGAAAACGGGCATTCCTATTCATGGCAAATCGTCCCAGTTGATTGGGTGGTTGCCAGCTGAGGGGGGTTGCACAGCACTCCATCTTAGTGTATCCCTTGTTATAGTCGAATTCCTAATGGGAGGTCTGAGGACAACGCCCTTCCCCGAAACAGGATTCTTGCGGAGTCAGGAATCAGGTCAGGTGCGAGACGCGCCAGGGGGTTCCCTAGCTTTATCAGTCCTTCTGCCAAAGTGCGTCCTCGGCAGTCTTATCATTGCCCTGCTAGTTGAGCATGGCGGATGTCTGAAGAGAGCGAGTTAGGTACCACGCAAATATACTCTACTATGAACAAATGCGTAGACAAGTCACCAGCGCATCCTTTTCAGGACGACGGTTGTCTCCGCTGCTTGTAACGGCCAAACGCAGGCGCTTTTTGCGGTGAAAGATTGTCCTAACGCAGCCTGCGACATGACGCGCTATACTATGTTGTGTTAGTTTCGCCAGCAGAAAACTGTACGGTTTATTTTTTTGACTCTGGGTGCAAAGTTCCCTAGAGTTAGTCCAATCAGTGTCTTGGGAGTCAGGAACCCTGGGAGGACAGGGCCTGTCAGGTTTAGCTCAGCTGTGCACTATCTAGCGAATTCACGGGAAACCGACAGTGAGACACGAATCGCTTGAAGACTCAAGTATTAAAAGGAGAAACGGACATAACTAGTTGGTTGGGTTTACGGGTTGGTGGCGTAAAATTAATAGACGATCGGCAGTAACTTTAGGCCAGGAGGCCCACTTGTGTACAACCCCAAAACCACAAGTAGACGAACAATTAAAATCGCGAAAAGAATTTAGGCTACAATTACACTGTAACCCTTTCTCCTTAGAAGGGATCATGGCTAGCTTTAAACATTGAACGCAGAAGAGTTGTGATCATTAATCAGTGGCCTGCCATTGGTTGTGGGGTTGGATGTGGGGAGGGCCCTAAAAGGACTCCAAGCATTCGGTCAAAGGGTCTGCTGAGCTAGGCAGACAATACCAGAAGGTCGCAGATGCTGTCTGCTGCAAGTAATATCCGGCAAAAGTGCAAAACGCTAAAAGGGAGTACATAGATGGAGACGC